GGCCTTGGTCACCGCCTCCAGACGACTTCGTCCTTACTTCCAAGCCCATTCCATAGTGGTCCTCACCGACCAACCCTTGAAGAAGGTCATGCAGCAACCAGAACTTTCCGGCAGACTTATGCAGTGGTCTGTGGAACTCAGCCAGTTTGACATCTCTCACCGGCCTCGGACAGCAATTAAGGGACAGGCTATCACCGACTTCATCTTGGAATTCACTAATCCTACCCCAACCACTGCCTCTCCATCCCTTCCAGCTCCCACCGAGCCAGAAGACCCTCACTCTTGGACTCTCAACGTTGACGGATCATCCTGTAGGCAGGGTAGTGGGGCTGGCCTCATTCTCACCAGCCCTGAGGGTGGTTATTTCAAATGTGCGCTCCGTTTCTTGTTTGAGGCTAGTAACAATGAGGCCGAATATGAGGCACTGATAGCAGGCTTTCGCCTAGCCAGGGACGTTGGTGTCAGCCACATCCGAGTGCTCAGCGACTCTCAGCTCATAGTCAGACAGATCACGGGCAAATTTGACGCTAAGGAGGGCACAATGCGGACTTACAGGGATCTTGCACTTTCCCTAGTTCGCCTCTTCAACACCTTTCACATCAAGCACATTCCTCGGGCGGAGAACTCTAAGGCAGATGAGATGGCCCAGCTGGCTTCCGCAGACCAGTCCGCCCTCAGCAGTGGTGTCCGCCTCGAATACCTGTCCCACCCCGCCATTTCCCCCGACCAGCATAAAGTACAATTCCTCCAAAATGAGCCCATCCCTTGGGCGTCGGACATCTTTCGATTTCTGACAGCGGGGGAACTTCCAGATGACCACCAGCAAGCCGCCAAAGTCAGGGCACGATCGTCCAATTACATCCTTGTCGACGGCATCTTGTACAAACGTGGTTTCTCACGCCCCTATCTCCGGTGCCTCAATCCGACTCAAGCAACTTATGTGATGCAAGAAATTCATAAGAGAATCTGAGGCAATCACTCGGGCGGCAAGTCTCTAGCCCACAAGATACTCCGTACTGGTTATTTCTGGCCCACTCTTAATCGCGATGCGACCGATTTCGTGCTCAAATGTGATAAGTGTCAACGTTTTGCCAACATCCCTCATGCACCCCCTACAGAGTTGATCACACTTTGCAGTCCTTATCCGTTCGCCAAATGGGGGATTGACTTGGTCGGTCCACTCCCTACTGGCCGAGGCCAGACCAAGTTCGCGATTGTCGCCGTTGATTACTTCACCAAGTGGGTAGAGGCAGAACCCCTTGCCACCATCACCGAGCGGAACACAACCAAGTTCATCTGGCAGTCGATCGTTTGTAGGTTTGGCATTCCTCAGGCCATTATCTCCGACAACAGTAAACAATTTGACAACGCCAAGTACAGGAAGTTCTGTGCCGACCTCCAAATTCAACCTTGTTTCTCATCCACTGGCCATCCCCAGGCCAATGGCCAAGTTGAGGTCACCAACCGCTCTCTCCTGAAGATCATCAAAACTAAGCTAGAAGCTTCTAAGGGACTTTGGGCTGAGGAGCTACCGAATGTACTCTGGGCTTATCGAACTACAGCTCGGACTCCCACTGGGGAAACCCCTTTCCGCTTAACATACGGCGCTGAGGCGGTTATCCCAGTAGAAGTCGGTTTGCCTACTCCCAGGGTTTCACATCCGGATCCAGCACTAACCGAAAAACTCCGTCGGGCTGACCTCGACCTAATTGAAGAACTCAGAGAGACCACCGCTGTCTGACTGGCCTCATACCAACAGAAAATGAGAACACACTACAACCGCAAGGTTCGACCGAGGGAGTTCACTGTAGGGGATCTTGTTTTGAGAGAAGCAACTCTTGCTACCAAAAATCCGACCGAGGGTAAATTGGCAGCCAAGTGGGAGGGACCTTACATTGTGAAAGCCTGACCCCGACCAGGCACTTACCGACTTCAGGACATGGAAGGTCGAGACCTCCTCCACCCATGGAACGCCGAACACCTTAAACGTTACTTTCAATAAGCTCCTATTTTTGTATTGCTCAGTTATTGTATTTTCTTTTCAGGAAATTCACACATTCTTGATATTCCCCCACGCAATGTAACTTCTTGATTATATATCTCAGTTATCTATATGTTGTCTCAGTAACATTCTTATTTGCAGCACTTAAAGCCTCAGCCAGACAGAGCACTAAAAGCCTTAGCCAGACAGAGCACTTAAAGCCTCAGCCAGACTGAGCACTTAACGCCTCAGCCAGACTGAGCACTTAAAGCCTCAGCCAGACTGAGCACTAAAAGCCTCTGCCAAACAGAACACTTAAAGCCTCAGCCAGACTGAGCACTTAAAGCCTCATCCAGACTGAGCATGAGCCGCCTTGGGCAGTCCGACCGTTAACACCCTCTGCCGGACCGAGCACTAAAAGCTCCATCCAGACTGAGCGTGAAGCACTCGTCCAGACCTAACATGTAGGGCTCGGTCAAAACCACCCATGCGAAACTTCATACTTGTGAAATTAACTAACACACTTAGTCACAATTCCAGGTCCAAGTCTTCACACCACTCTTTGCTTAGTCAAATTCCAAAGACGTTCTTATCATTTTATTACATTTCACTTTCTCAGGCCTATCATTTTATTACATTTTAAATTTCACTCTGCGTTGGGGAGTTCTTAAATTTCACTATCATTTTATTACATTTAACTTTCTCAGACCTATCATTTTATTACATTTTAAATTTCACTCTGCATTGTGGAATTCTTAACTTCACTCTGCATTGAGTCCTTATTACAAGCTTCAATTTCACTTTTATTAACAAGGAATTCTACACACACTTCGCCCACGCCTCATTTATCTAAGATCCACAAGCAGAAATAATCAAATAACAAACACAACTGAAATTTTATTCATTCACAACTTTGTACAAAAGTTCATTACAGCAATTCATGTTCAAAAGTTCATTACAGCAATTCATGTACAAAAGTTCATTATGTTTCCTGCTGCCCCGAGGCCTTATAACATGCAAAGAATTCGTACTCCTCCTCACTGGAGAGGAGGTCTTCTTCTTCAATGCCCTCATCCAGGGGGGTTTGGGCCACATCGTCTTCGCCAATCGTTACGCTACTAAGGTCTAAGTCTGGGAACAGCTCTTCAGCTCTACGTTTGAACATCTTCCAGCCACTGTCCCAGTACTCAGCCATTTCGTGCTTATAAAAGTCTGACTGCTGGAAGCTCTCAATAACTTCTGCTTCAGTTCTACCTCCAGCAGTCGTCCTCGATGGGCCAGCCCCCCCAAATTCTTGCCCAGCCAGGCTACTCGCGACTGCGGTATCAACCGCCGTCTGAAATTCGGCAGACCCTTTGAATTGCTCCACTGCGGCGACGCACAGATGGGGATAAGCCGCCCTTTTAGAGGCTGCCTTTGCCCTCTCTTTGTCCAGCTCTTTCTGCAGGGCCGCCCTTTCTGATGCCGCCTTTGCCTTCTCCTCCTCCAGTTCCTTCTTCAGGCTCTCCTTCTCCGCCGTCACCTGCACTCTCTCTGCTTCTAACTCCCTCTGAAGCCTCCCTTTCTCCTCCACCGCCTTGGTCCAATTCTCTCTAGAGATCGCCCACTTTGCCATCAGTCTCATCTTTTTGCCTCACCAGCTCTTCATTACTACTCATAGCCTCTTCATGTCGCTCGACCGCGACGGCGCAAGCTCTTTGGGCCTCGTCCAACTTCTTCTGCTTGCCAGCAAGTTGGAACTCGAGCGACACAACCTGGCGGCGTGTGTCCTCCAGCTCCGCCTTAACCGCTGGCAGCTCAGTGTGGGCACTCTCCCAACTTGCACTCTTCTTCTTTAACTTTGCCAGCTGAGCCTTGGCCTCATCTGCCTTGAGTTTGGCAGCCCCCGCCTTCCTCAGCAGGGCCCCTGCTAAGGTGGTTACCTCCATTTGAGCGGAGTATAACCCCTTTAGCAGTTCAGTCTCGTTGAATCTGGAGGCCGAGCGCAGGGCTGCCTCTTCTACAATCCCTACAAGACGGTCTGCCCCTGCCCTGGCTGGGCCTTCTTCTTCCTCCAGCCGCACCGCCACCGCACGAGCATGGTAGATCGCTGTGGTCGCACCGATTCCTCCTTCATGAGGTGCAAGCCCCCCTGGGGCTGTTCCCCCCTCCTTGGCCTAGGGCCAATAGCCTCGTCCTCCACTTGCCTTTCGGGGGCGGCCTTTGCGACCCCGGCGGCGATCGCCGCCACCACTGGCACCACCTCCATGCCCTCTGAGGCAACATCCACCACTTCTGGGCCACCTACCTTTCTTGGGACCCCCTCCACTTCTCCCCCTTCAGCCCCCTCGGCCGCACTGGTTTCCTTCACACTCATCTTCCTCCTCCTCTTCTGGGCAGGCACTTCCTCACTCCGACTCACTCTCTTCTTCTTCTTCCCCACGCCCAACGCCTCCATCTCCTTCAAAGGGTCTGTTGGGGGCGGCCGCGGCACAAAATCGCCCAAGTTTTTCTCTCCCAAGGGTTTGGGGCGAGGTCGAATCCTCTCCCTCGCAACCGGTTTTGGTGGTCGGTCGGCCAGGGACTCTTTGAATTGTTGGGCTTTAGCAAGAATGGCCTGATCCTCCGCCTCTTGAACCCTTCTCCTCGCCTCCAACTCTGCTCGGTCGAGGTCCCCACTACTTGGCTTTGGCCCCAACCCCGCCTCAAACAATGCCGACGGCTGAACGAGCTCGTCTCATTTGGCTTTTTCTCTCTCCCTCCACTCCTTCACCCTCTTCACCCTCCCCTCCGCAGCTGCCCCCAGTTTCAGCTTCACAAACCTGATGGGTACTTTCCAAACGGTACGCGCTCCAAGCCCCCCATTGGCAGACACGTAAAACCATCGCGGACGCCACCCCTTGATCGACGACGGCAGACCCGCCACCAACCCCTTCCCCACTGCTGCCTGCAGAGTGACCCACGTCTCCTGCTGCCCCGAAGCCTTATAACACGCAAAGAATTCGTCTACCGTCATGGCCTCCCCTCCATTTGCCTTCGGTCACGCACTTGCACAAGCCAGCAGGATCTTCCATGCGTTGGGCATTAGTTGCCCCGGTGCTACCTCCAGACGGTTAAGCACATCCACTACCACTTGCGGCAGTGGCAACCTCAGTCTACCCTTCAGAGCTTCCTCATAAAGGGAAAACTCTCCTGGCCTAGCGTCAGATGACCTTTCCGTTGATGTCGACAGCAATAACTCCACTTCCCCAGGGATCTGGTATTTTTCGCGGATAGCCTCCAACTCCGCCTCAGTAATCGTGGATTTGTCAGCCTTCGTGTGCCAATGATTTGGTTCCGCCTGGCTGATTAGCTTTGGAGCTGCTATCATGGTGGAACCGTGGGATCGTACCACCGACTCTCCCACCCTCTCTATCCTATACTGCGCCGCTAGCTCCACAGCATCATCCTCTCCAAGCGGGTCCACCCTGACAATCGCATTCCCTTCTTGGGCCATTTCGGTGGTTTGTTTGCGAATCGCTTCGGCGGTTGGAACAAGGAAATCGAAAAAGTGTTGCAGAGGTGTATTGTGAGCAACAAAGGAATCCACACTTGGAATATTTTGATTTTTCGTAAACAGGTAGGTGAATCGAATAATGTCAAAAGCCCACGGTTTGCCCCTATTCCAAGGATCCCAATTAATTTCCGCCAGTTTGAAAACTTTTCAAAATCATCCGTCAAAACTGTCTCCTCAACACCCATAATGACTTACCGTTTCATTTCTGATCCAACGCCTCACCTCCCCTCCTACGGGATGTTGCCACGTGTACGTCCACGATCCACTGTCCCCTCCCCTTACCCTGTCTTTTCCACTTCAACTCACCATGTGACCCACCACGTCTCGAGCCCCACGCCCTTCCACCTCACCCTTCACGGTCGGCCCTCCTCGCGGTCGACCCTCCTGCTCGGTCAAACACCACGGTCGGCCCTCCCCGCGGTTAGCCCTCACGCTCGGCCAAACGCCGCGATCGGCCCTCCTAGTCGGCCAACACCGCGGTCGGCCCTCCTCGTGGTCAGCCCTCCCACTCAAAAAATGCTAAAAAAGTAACATACCCAATTAGTGAACCAAGATAAGCTAAACCTTTTGGGTTTGCAGATGGCAAGCCATATGATACAAGGCAGCTGCAAAATAAAAAAAATGGATATTAACATTTGGATCAATATTAATAGGGTTTTACAAAAGAATTGAAAAATAAAAAATAAAAATATACTTTTGACTTACATAGTAGCTAGTTGGAGCAAATGCAAATCCTCCAAAGAAACCAAGAAGCCCTCCAAAGAAAGGGAATGTCATTCCAACGAACATTGTAATGGCTTCATTTAGAAAAATAGAAAATGGTTTTCAAAATCAAATTAATGAATTAGTAATGGAACTTCTTATGGTGGAATGAGAAATTGAAAAATAATAACAATGATCCTATGAACACAAAATCGAACACATAATACACATGTATAGATAAGATTTTTAAAATTTGTCAATGGGATCCAATCATGTAAATCTACTTGACCAAAAATATAAGGGTCCAACTCTTTCTTGTGTAAAAAAACATAGCAAAAGTTGTATATAAAACATTCTCACCTTTTGGTAAATATTAATTGATAGTTTGCTCCAAAAAAATTATTCATATATATATATATATATATTCTATTGCTTCTCAGTTTTGTGTTTCTAGACTTGTTCAAACAATAGATATGTATAAGGGATTATTTGGAACAATCTAAATAAATATATTTTTTTGATTTTTTACGAAAAGATACACAGAAAAATAGAGAAGTGATGTGACCCAAAATGCATGTATTGGGTCAAACTTATTAATCAAGTCATACAAATAGTCAACAAATAATAAGCATAATATGAATTGAATTCACAGCACGAGAGAAAAGTTCCCAAATGATAGAACTTAAACATAGTAATCAAGTAAAGATGGAAGAATGCTTACCTACATAAGTGGTTCGAGTGACAATTCGAAGAAATCTAGTTGGCTTGAAGTTCATTTTCATTACCAAACAAGCTTCTATCATGTCAAACACTGGTTGTGCAAATACCTATAAATTCTTGCAAAAATTACCATAAAAATGAAGAAAACAAAAATGAAAAATCTCTTAAACTACCAATTACATAATTTTTTATAAAAAAAATACACAGAATACAGTATTATTCGCACTACATTCATCCTAGCATTACATTCTATTAAAAAAAAAAATTGTGCTATAGTAAGACCTATCAACATATCGGATTCAAACTTGATTCAGAAAAATTCAATATGATTCAATTAGCTTCTCATCCGAATACGAATATCTGATAATGGCTTATTAGAACCCATATCTATCTTATCTAGTTGTCTGATCCATAAACCCAACTTGGTCCCTATTTGTTTATTTATTTGTGACATACTGACACCTTTTTTTACATTGTTGGACAATACTAATATCCAGACTTTTTAGTACATCATAATAAATTAAAAATGTAAAATACATTAGACTTTTGTTACACTACACATAATATTAATTTTCAGATCAAATATATAACTGGATCAAATAGGATCGGATTTGTCCTTCCATTCAAAATCAAATCAAATGGATTCAGCTGTAATCAGTTAATCAGATTGGATTTTATTCAACATATTCAAATATTTCAAATCAGGTTAGGGTTAACCCAATCTATTAACACACCTAATTCAGAAAAGTGTAAAGAATGTAGTGTTGCTCGCACTGCATTCATTCTAGCACACTACATGTAAAAAAAAAAATTGTATTCATAACATTACTTGGGATAAGAAAGGCTCTACTACATACCTGATAGCTTCCAATGACATGAACCACCACAAACAAGTTAGCCAAAGCAACAAGCCAGGCAGGTTTCTCCAATGAAAGGAGGATATTATCTTCCACACTATTTCCAAAAACCCAATAACCGATGAGCGAAACTGGGAAGTAACACAAGGCCACTACAGTATAAGCGAAAAGCACCCCTCTCCACATGGGTTTTTTGGACGGCTTTCCGGGTTCGGATGGGATTGTTGCTTGGATTTCTAAAACCACATTGTGGCCAGCAAAGGCAAATGCTACATCACCCAATGCACTCAAGAATTGGAATATAGTTCCTTTGGTGGTTGAAGCCCTTGGGGTGTATTGGACTCCTGGTTGAACCCCCTTGTGGATAGAGGCTACCCAAGCTATGGTAGAGTAACTGTACAACAAAGCCACAAGCACAACTAAATTAGCTTGGAGGAAAATGCTATTCTTTGAGAATTTTTATAAGAATTATTTACCAAAATGATGTGTAAGAAGCATTTTGATAGGATTTTGTTTTAAAGTAACAGGCTTACAACTCTGTCATATCATTCTGTATATATTTTATGACAAAAAATTAGAAATGAAAAACATTAATAAGTGATATAAGATTGAATAAAATGTTTATGTAAGAAAATTTATTAAGAGCCTTGAAAATGAGAGTATATATAATACATATATACATATATAAAGAATTAGTAGAATACTTTCATGGTCAATTAAAATAGTAATGCTATAGAACATTTTAGAATCTTATTAGAACGATTATATATTATTGTTAAAAAAATTATAACAAAAAAAAAAAAAAAGATTTGTGAGTAAGAGTAAATAGTATAAATTACGGAAAATGAGTTTCTAAAAGTTTTCACTACACTTTCACAAGAATTCAAACAAATTTCATTTTTATCAGAAAAAAAAACTCTTAAAACATTTCTTTTGGTTTCTTTAAGAATTTCCTTTATAATTTCATGAAAGTTCTATCTCCATTCTAAATTCCAAGGAGAGTTTTTCCTCTCTTTTTTACAAATAGAGAAATTCTAGAAATTTTTCACAGCATTTTCCAATAGATTCTAACAAATTTCTTTATATCATGTTTAGAGTTTCAACAAAGTATCGAAACGAAAAACGTTTCTTTCAGTTTCTTTAAGAGTTTCCTTCATAATTTCATAACAGTTCTATCTCCATTGTAAAGCAAGTTTTCAAGGAGCGATATTTTTCTCTCAAAAAGGGTTTTACCTCAAGGACATGATTGCTGCAGCCAGAGAGATAACCGTGACGGAGTTAAAATTGGGAAGATGAGAGAGAAAGAAGTGAACCGAGGCGAAGATCATGATGAAGTAAGTGGTTTTGATTGATTTGCAGCTACTAGGGCACACTGTATCATGGAACTTTTTGAGAGACTTGCCTCCGGTGATCATGTAAACTATGTTCACCCCAACTTCTACAATTAACTGTTGAGGAACCACAATCCAAATTCCAAGCTTTTTGCCAAAAGCATGTTGACCTAATTCATGGTATCTATCGAATCTCTTCCCCGGTACGATTTCATGCATTTCTACCATTTGCCAGAGAGTGTAGAGAGTGATGACCCATGACAGAACCAGCACAGTAACACCTGGACCCCTAAGCAATACAAGAAAGCTCATGTCACTAAAATTAGGCCTGTTTTAATTGTGTTTTTTATCTTTAATTTTTTTTTTTTTTTAAATGTTGAAAAACAGGCTTGTTTCGTTATGTTCTTGTTCTTTGGATTTTGTTTGGCTTTTGGAACAAAAAATAAAATAAAATGTTTGAAAATAACTTTCTGAAATTTTTAAGCAGTTGGTTGTTTTTAGAAAAAAAATTCAGTATTCATCGTATTCTTGTTTTTATTTGTTTTCGGTTTCCATTTTGCTATGTTTTTGAGAAAATAAAATAAAATAAAATAGAAGAGAGAGAGGTTTGGAAACATATTATTTGTGTCTTTCAAAAAATTTGAAACATTTTTTTTTTTTTTAATAAAAGTGGGTGGTTTTCATAGTTATTTTCAGAAAATTTTCCTGTTTTGGAAAAAGGTCTTGTGTTTTTCAAAAAAATGAAAACAGAGAACGGAAACACAACCAAAAATTATTTTTTGAGGGAAAAATTTGAGAACAACTCAGTTTTGTTTTTTTAAAAAAATACATTTTTAAAATTTTGAAAATATTTTTGCACAAAAATGAAAAACAATATGAAAACAATGAGTGTTTCTAAATTTTCATTATTTTTTTTTCTATAACATAAAAAAATAAATACAAAGAAAATGAAAACTGAATCAAACAAACTCAAATAAATTGCCAAAAATCACAAATATTGCATCATAATCATTAGAGTTATGGGCATAAATATAATAATTAGCTTTCTTGTTTGTATATAGGCATATACTATCAGCAGTGATTTAGACCCCCTCAAATTTCAACCCCTACCATCCCACACACACGTGGTGGGTGGTGATTGGAGGAGAAGAAAAAAAAAAGAAAAAAAAAGTGACAAATCAAAAAAGAAAAGGGGTCAAAGGGAGTGGGAGAGAAGGGAATCCCAATCTTTATTCATCGAGTAAAATAATTTTAAAATTTCTCCATTATCAATCCATCCAAAAGGCTAATTAGTAATCATGCAAAAAAATCAAATATAAAATTACAAATGCATCGTGATCGCACCTACCGCTAATATAACAAACATACATACCATCCAAGTTCAGACATGGCATAAGGAAGACCAAGAACACCAGCACCAACCATGGCAGTGACATTGTGAAAAGCAGAGTACCACCATTTCCCATTCCTTGAAGCGGTCACTGGCAGCCACTCATTCAACTCTTTCACCTTCGCTGCTGCTGCTGATGATGATGATCTCTCTTCCTTCTTTGATTCACCATTTGCCATTTTTTGTTTTTCTTGTTTTTGTTTTTTCTTTTGTTGTCAAAAACCCAAGTTCAGCACAAACCAGAAATGAAATGAGAGAGAGAGAGAATATTGATAAACACCAGATAATGTGGGGGGAGTAATCTATTAAGCTAGAGTTTGTTTCCTTTAATAACTGAAATATAGAGAGATAAATAACCATACAAGTACTTCGCTTGACTCATGCAACCGAGCCCTCTCTCAAGTTTGTTAGGATTTCAACAATCTTTGCTTGTATTTGCTTTGCTTCTTAATGATAATAATTTTCGTTTTTATGGACATATCTGATCTAAACCATTCATCTTGTAAAATTTTCTGAACAAATCATCAATTAACATCAATTAAAAAAAGTTAATCGAATGGTATATAAATAAGCGATTTGAATTATCAAAATAGAATTGTAATAAAGCCCACAAAACCAAATAATGCGCTTCCGTCCAATTCGTTATTTGAAAAACAATAAGAAAAAAATCAAGAAACATAAATATCGGTTGAAAAACCAAATCACCTTATTTGATTTTGGTTGATTTGCTAAGAATTGAATTTTTCATTTTTCGTATTTTTTGTTATTAGTGAATTTTTTAAATACTTTAAGTAAATTTTTTACTTTCTAAATACACATAACTTAGATGCACCTAAAAAATAAATGTTTGTGCAAAAATATTTGAAAAACCAAAATAAATACACAAAAATATAAAAATATACTAAATTTTATATTTTTTTATATCTGATGAAGTTTTTTAAAAAAATTCATAAATATTGTACTTTTTAAGTATATCTAGATTAATTGAATCTAAAAAATATTTTTTTAAAAAAATCTTGAAATATTAAAAATTTTAACTAAAAAAAAAAAAACCTTGTTTTTTTTAAAAAATGAATACAACTTATTTTTACATGAAATGGGTTTCCTCATATTTGGTTCTAAACCTATATGAGAAGGTTATGTCTTGTTCTTTCCGTCCAAGTAGAAAAATTGAAAAATATCTTTCAAACATCAATATAAATATGATGGATCACATTATCTAAATTAATTACACTTACTAATATAGATATGATAAATCACATTACCTTCATCAGTCACATTAATTTTTTTTTTAAACAAAAAACCCTCTAAAAAGATACTATAAAATAATCTCATATCAAATGATGGATTCCGCATGCATATCTTATTTTTTAATTTATTGGTACATAAATGTCCACATCTATGATGCAAATTGTTCAATATGTAGAGATTGACAAATACTTTATCCCTATAAAAAATCATATAAATTAGATGTCGATATTCACTTAATAAGATCACATTTATATCAACGGTAAATATGATTTTTAAAAGAAATTATAGACAAATATATCCAATCAAGTATTTTTTATGATGACAAAATACTCTACGAGCCTTATATAGTGACGGTACAAAATCTTCGATGCGGAAGGCCAAACAACATCCTTCAGTTAAAAAACGCAACTGGAGAAGATCCTGCTAAAAAAGAAAAAACTTAACTAAAGTCCTAATGCCACTATACTACAACCACCTCTGCCTGCACTGCCACCTTAGGAAAAAAAATGTTATTGAAGGCTGTGGCATTGTGAAAACAAAAATATTAAAAGGACCCAACATTTGATGACTGAACGAGAAGCAGAAAAAGATGATTTTAGCCTAATATGTACTGTCAGATTAGAGTCAATCACCACATAAAATGTTCATAATTTACACACAAAATCAACTGTAGTTCAAAATACAACTATAAATAATTTCATTTTTTTTCAGGGTTTGAGGAAAGGGTTATAAAATTTTCAAAAGAAGGCATTGCTGCTACAAAGCAGCAGACCACCAGAATTGATTCTGTTCTGCTCTTTCCATCTCTCAAACAAATGATCTTCCTCTCTTTGAAGTTTAAGGTACCTGTCCATGTCAAATTGTGACCTCTGGTGACTTGCTACTTCTTTGAGTATGCTTCCTGTTGCTGTAATAATAATAGATAAATAAATAACGGAGCCAATAAATATAATTTTAATATTAAAGTGTCATCACTTCCAGTACCTTCTCCGGTATTCGAAGAAGGACCATCAAGTCCAGGGCTCCAACTCCCCCGACTACTAGCGGAATTACCGCTTGGATGTTGTGCTGAAATCGCTTCCTGTACAAATTACAATTTATGAGTTCATGAAGAAATTAGAAGAGAGAAAGTAAAGAGAGAAAATAAGACATCATGGTTTACAAACCAAACCAAGCCTTAAGTCTCATTAAATAGGACATTCATAGTTCACAATGCACTTACAATACAACTCCTATGCTTTTGAAAAAAATGGTAGTGGACAAGTTTGTGCTTAGAAAGGGTTTGTACAGACCAAATACTTACTAAAATAAACAATCAGTGAATTAATTAATTAAATTTTCCAATTCAGTATTCACCAACCAAGGCCCACCACACAATATCACAACGATGAAGTACATGACCTGAAAATGACAATATACATGGAAAACAAACCACAGGCCATCTTGACGGTGCAATAATCAACTAGATTTAGAGTAATATATAAGATGGTTTAACTAAGCATATAACCCTTGACAGAATGAAATGAGAAAAAATTATGCGTGTAGCCGACTCCACTTGATTGGGACACAAAACTTGGTTTTGTTTGGTTTATCAAGTGTACTATAGCAGGGTTCCCTGCTCCAAGGTTGCTCATTGAGTGTGCCTCCGGTAACAAACCTCTTGATAGATTGGGCAACTCTCACAAACATCCATATCACTTATCTTTGTAGTTTCTATATTTGGTAAAATCCCTTGTATTACTTCATGTTGATGACGTAAATTATGTCATCATCTTTTTGCTTGTTATGTTTGTAATACATATGTTTTGAGGCCATCAAGAGGTCGTCACAAGTCAACCCAGTTATTAGGGTGGTTGAACAATGTAACCATGAACCTATCTCTTCATATGTTGATGGCCAATTCGGTTTGAACACATAACAAGAAACATTTTATTACACAAAGCAATAGCTTCGGCATTAAGTAAACACAAACGTAAATGATTGTAACCATATCATGTTTGCTTGTATATTTTTCGTCTAAACAATTTTGTCACAAAATAAACCAAAAATGCCACATAATCAAAATGACTGATAACAGAGTCTCAATTGGAAAGCCACCTGTACTGAAGTGTTTCACGTGTAAGATGGCAGCTACTAAAGATGGTAGGGATGCCTTTATTCCTTTAAAACTTCTATTATATCAAATTTTAACATATAAAATCTCATTATAAATTCGTCAACCCTTAATTTAAACCAACCAGCTGATGTAATTCTATACATGTTATCATATGCACAAACATAATGAATTTCTTATAAGCCATTATGCAGTCAGTGCTTGTAACTAACTCAAGGAATGATATATGCAAATAACTTTGTATAAAAGAATAATTAGTACACACCCATGTCATTGTTCGAAGATTACCTGATATGCATCCCACGATATACTTTGTGGTGTCACGGGAAGCTCTCTCTTATTCTTGGATGGAAGAGCAGAACCATCATTACATGTCTCCCATTGCAACCAAGGCAGAATAACACCATCCATTATTTCAACAGGAGGATAATTAGATCTTGTCTGTGTTCGAAATGTTTCTGTTTCTCCGGAATGCAACACTGCATCTCTAGTTTTTGTCACTTGTAAAGTGGAACTTGCATCACTCCTTTCTCCATCATAAGAAGAAAGATCAGTATCTTCAACATTTGAAATGAAGTCCTCGAAATATTTCTCTGCCTCTTCGGTCAATCGCTTAGACACCCTATTTTTGTCATTACTCCTCTGAAAATTTGTGGAAACATTTAAGTAAATGGTCTAGTAAATTATATGTAACCATATCAACTAATCAACATAATCATACTGCATTTCAGCACAGCCGGAGATTGAGAACCAAACCTTTCTAGCTCGTGATGGTTTTTCTGCATTGGCAGAGCTCTTTGGATCAGGAAGCAATTCCCTCACAATCTTAGACAGCTCCCTACCATGTTGCTCCTCCAATGCTATCTCAGCTAACAGGTCTTGTTTACGCTTCTCCGACTGGAAATTTTTTAGTAAACTCCACGTTTACTAGTTGAAGTTCTCATAAAAAACAGTGCTTAAAAAAAATCTTAGAAAGAACAGCATTATAACAAAACACATGACACATCTTTCAAAGTTGCTCATTAGTTGATAGTTTCTATATTCTGGGAACTCATATGTACCTTTGATAAAGAACAACCCTAATTCACCTTAGTTGCACAAGATGATGTTTAAGTGGTGCTTTAAATTCCATTTTAACGAGTGTGTTTTCCCTTCTTTTTATGAAAGGCAACACTAACAATTATGTCATTTTTAAGGTCATATCATTGAAAAGCAAATCTCCAGAAATGGTATTAGTTTGGATGCAAACAATTTTTGCCTGCTTGAGCTGAAAGATATTCTTTTATTAACTGACCGATTTTCAGTTAAACATACCCCAGAAAAAAAAGTTCATGTCCACATTTAGCAAGAAAATAAAATTTCTCATAAATTGTCATGCTAAAAAGATACATGCAAATGAAGTAATAAGGGTTAATTACACTTTACCCCCTAGTGATTTAACTCAAAAACACATTACCCCCTTATAATTTAGAAATATATATATATATATAACCTCCTAGTGGTATGGAGTGAACTGTAAAGTCCAACTTCGTCAATAAGGCCTCGTTTGGCAAGAGGCTATTTTAGCCAATTAGCCAAAAAGTTACTAAATTAGCCAAAAAGCCAACAACCCATACCAAAAAGTCAAAGATTCTCTTTTCTCTCTACTTTTTGCACATTTTTTCGTAATTAGCCAAAAAGTCATCCCAAACATACAAGTTTTTTTTACCTACCTTTTTAGCCAAATAGCCAAAAAGTTACTAAATTAGCCTGTTTCCAAACGAGGCCTAAATTTTGTAAGAAGTCTATAATAGCCTTATTCTTTGCTCTAATTTTCTTTTTTATGCCATCATGAACCAAGCTGCTTTCTCTCTCCATTTTTCTGCATTTTATTACATTTTTCTCTCTTTTTCTCATTCTATTTTTCTTACCTGTCTTCCTCCTCCCTTGGCAACAGTCAGCAGTTGCTTGCTCCAGCAGACCACCCACCTCTTATTCCTCCGGACTGCATTACAACTACCTTCTAGCTTCCTCTTTTTTTTTTAAATTATTATTTTATTTTTACGGAGGCAACCATGATTTTCTCGGCTATAATCCAAAAACCACAACTCCTCCCCACTTTCAATTCACTACTACAAAGATTAAAACACATACATAGGTATATTTATATATGCATTTCATTGTATGCACAAGGAAATCATTAGAGTAGGAATGACCTCCATCTATTATAATATGTATGAAGAATCATAAATTATTCCAAATCAATAACCTATTTCAGTGGGTCTTTTATTTCTGAGTTGCGATGAAATGTTGGTCTCATTGTGGTTGTTGTATGAAGTGAGGCAAAAAGAAAGGGAGATAAGAGGGTGGGGATAATGTGCAGTGGCAAAAAAGATAGGTGACTGCTGTTCTGTGATGGAAGAAGAAGGAAGAATAAAAGAAAAGAAAAGGAAAAAAGGGTAAAAATGTCATTTCCTAGTTTTGGACCTGACACACGCTTAATTCAGTGCGTTACACACGCACAGTTAACATAGACAGGATTTGTAACTTTTACATTTCACTCCGTAGCAAAGGGAGGTTAAGTGTATATTTCTAAACCATAGGGGAGTAATGTGTTTTTGAACAAAAATACACGGGGGTAAAGTGTAACTAACCCAAGCAACAAACACCCTCCTTTACTAGCGATGGCTAACAGGCCGCCACTATCATATGCCACTATCTTATTATATGCATTAACACAAATTTCCAGCAACGCTTAATTCAGTGCATTACGCACGCACAGTTAACATAGACAGGATTTGTAACTTTTACATTTCACTCCGTAGCAGAGGGAGGTTAAGTGTATATTTCTAAACCATAGGGGAGTAATGTGTTTTTGAACAAAAATACACGGGGGTAAAGTGTAACTAACCCAAGCAACAAACACCCTCCTTTACTAGCGATGGCTAACAGGCTGCAAACAAAACTTGAAACATTTGGCAGCATGGGCTGTCAGTCTCCTAGATCACCAATCAATCCTTCAAGTTATCACAACCATTATGTCCAAAATTTTAAACACATCATTGCTATAAGCCAATGTATATTTTCTCCTTAATCTGATAGTTTCTTTAAGGTATGTCAAGAACTTCGCACAACATGGTCGCAGAATATACAATAAGATTTCACATACACAAAACATATAGACAAAAGCCTGACCTCAAGAGATGACACTCTTTTAATGAAGATTATAATTGACCATACAAACCTGTTCTAATTTCGTTGTGTATTTTTTCCGGACTTTAGGAACAGCCTGAAGAACATTGAAGTCGTCTGCCTGCAAAGAACTCTCACTGGCTAAAGCAGAGGTTTTTCTCACCATGCCCTGTGTAAGTCGAAAAGAAGCCCTAACAACGTTCAGCAAATAGCATACACTAATTGTGCAAATGTTAAGAAAATATATCAATGTTTGAAAACAGGTTTACAGAATTCTAAATTGCAACAGACATGTTCAAGTTCCATCTTGATTTCATCAACTGCGTATCTAAGTTCCTTTCGCATTGCTTCAAACAACCCATTGTTCACATCGTCCCCAGTAGGGTGCTCTGCCTGAAAGGCAAAAGTAACGGAAGGGACATGTATAATGAAACAGTACCGAGAAACCTATCATTTAGTCATTGGTGTCCACAAAAACTAACCTTTTTCTGAGCATAAACTGCCCGGATTGTCTTCTCAATCATATTTTTACTAGAACGAGCATCGTTAGCTTCATCATCAGTTAGTGCAGAAGACTGGCTCTGAAAGGTCCAGAAGCATTATGTTAAAATTAGTTCAGTTCTAAAAATGCATCAAATTTGGGCACTAATTCTTCCTGTTGGTTTACGCAGGTGAGTAGGACGAGTTGTAAAACACATATAATGTAGATGGATAAAGCATGAAGGCCTTGACTCGATCAACAAATTATCTCCTTCAGTCAAATTTTGTTTAAATTTGCAACAAAATCCTTCCTCAACTAAGACACTACAAACAGAATTCATAAGCAAATAAAAGGTCAATTCCTTTAACAACACAAGATGAAGAACTCTTACAGAGTAGTCATCATGCAACTTTGATAGATCTTTTTGGCTGAGGGACGTTCCTAGGCATCTATGACTTGAAGCTACGGGCTTCTGTAATGAAGGCATTCCACTGCTGAAAGTCCTCATATTTGCGTGATTGCTAGAATTCTGAGAATGACTTATATCACTCAGTCATCAAAAAATAATTTGTTGTAGTTAAACAAACAAGGCAAAAAAAATTCCTAGTTTATGATAGCACAGAAAAAAGAGAAAAAATATAAATAAATAAATAAATAATAAATAAATTCATCTGTAGTTGCTTATATGAATCAAAATGTTAGAATAATCTTTCTACATCATTACAAATACCAGATGTCTATAATGCTACAAGTACGATTTGTCCCATTGACATCCAAAGGAACAAAAAATCATTTTATGGCCAAAGTGTTTCCATTTTCTTGGAAACTAACACAAACCATTAGCAGAAATTAACATTCCAATGATTGCACCAAAACATATCAAAACACTGCAAAATGTTCCTAAACAATGAGTTGATAGGAATATTAAGAGAACTTTCTATTTGACTTCTTTTGTTAAAAGAAAATATTCGGGAACAAAAAATAAATAAATAAAATAAATCTAAGAAAGGAAAAGATAAGAGTTGAAGAGAAAATGAACATGGTTAAGCCAATTATTTTCTTTTTTTGTTATTATTGATACATTTTTTATAAATACTACTTTTAACCAATACTTCTACTAGAATCTTGCATTTTTGTTCTATCTTATGATGGTAAACCCCCTTCCCCCAATAGTTCTTTAAACTTTTCATTTTATGAGCTGCTAATATTCATTGACCTTTATTGAACATTATCCTTAATCTTGTTTTTAAAAAAAATAATAAAAAATGACCTGGTTTGCCCAAGGGACCTCCCATACCTTGGATATCCTTTCACCTTTGTGTTCTATTAATATTTTTATTGTTGTTATCGATGAAGCATGAACACCTCTTCGGAGGTCACATACTGGTGTCCGACACGCCGGAGGCAGTCAAACGCGCTGGGACACTTGGGACACATTGGCCTTGTTTGGTTTGTTTCTCAGAAAAATTTTTGAAAAAAATTCTTTACAAACAAATTTTCAAAAGTAATCAAATCAAACAAATTTTTCCAAAAAAAATCTCAAAATTTTGTTTAGTTACCTACTTTTCAAAATTCACTCTCTCTCTCATACACATCAAATCAATCACTTTTTTTAAAACTCTCTCCCCAAAACAATTTTCCAAAATTATTTCTGAAAAAAGACGAACCAAACAAATTTTCATACTTTTTATCTCAAAAGCTACTCTACAAACACAAACCAAACACACTCATTGTGTCTCATTTGAGAATTCGATAATGACTTTCTTAACCTCTAGAATTGTAATTATTTATTGATTTCTCTAGTCTATATAGGTTGATTATAACTCTTATATAAATGAGAGCTTGAGTCCATTCCACCAAGCATAAGACAAAAAGGGGAAAGACCTCTTGGGTGTGTTGCACAACACTCATAGCATCATGAGTGCTTATGAGCAGTGTGAGAGTGAAGTATATAGAGTTTTATGTAAGTGATGGCATGTGATGGATTAAAGTCTCTCATGTGAGTACCTACAGTGTGCAAGTAAAGGAGTGTAACCTACGCACCTTTTAACCTAATTTGAAGAAAGTAATCATAGTAAAAAGATGGGTTCAACAATAATCCATGGTAGTGCAGCTGACTATATTTTAAAGATTTGTTTTTTTTAAGGCAATTGCATGTGACAGATATGTACACCACATCCCTATTGGTTTCTGAGTGTGGGTGAGAGGTGTGGTTAGATATAGTCTGGGAAGATGGCGAGCACTTCAATGGATTAAGATCACCAGAAATGAAGAGGAGGTCAAGACAAGCTTGGAGAGGGAGAGGGAGAGGGAGAGGGAGAGGGAGGCAGTGATGGACCTTGAATATCAATGTAGAATGTAAGAAGGAGTGTTTAAGTGTGAGACTTAGTGTATTACAATTACGGAGTATTGTGGTGGTGAAGTGAAGTTTCTTGCTACATATATGATACATTATATAGGCCGCAAGAGCATTGGAGCCCAAGCAACCTGTTAGACAGGTGGCTCATTCTCCCTAACTTTGCTAGAAGTGATATAAGTCCTTCTACCATTTGTGGCTTGATGACAAGTGGAGAGCAACGTTTCGTAGCAGGCGGAAAGTAACATTTCGTATATGCATCGGGTGACATGAATGTAAGGTTGTTATTGCCTCTTCTCCAATCTTGGTCGAGATGGAGTTGTCTTAGCAAGAAGACAACTATCTTGACGATCCCATGACCTCAGCTGCCAATCCAACATCCTTTGATGATCCCGAGCAATAGTGTCTGAGCCCTGCTCTCAACCTAGGAAACCAAGTAGGTGAATAGGAGAGCCAAGGGCTCGCTTCCAAGCGACCAAGTAGGAGAATGCGCTGCGGACCTATCTCAATGTTTAGGAGAGCCAAGGCTGATCAGTCCAAGTTCAAGTGAACCGGGAGCTGATTATATACACTATGCTTGGTTATCATTTTTCAGAAACACTTTTCAGAAAATTCTACTTTTTTATTTTCCGTGTTTTTTTGTTTTTACTAAATTTTTTTAATATTTTAAGTAATTTTTTTAATTTTTAAACATACCTAACATACATATACCTAAAAAGTAAATTTTTTTGGAAAAGAACCTTTTAAAAATTCACTAAATACCAAAAATACAAAAAAAAACATGAGAATTCAATACATTTTTTGTATTTTTATGTATTTATTAATTTTTAAAAATATTTTTTCATAATTTTTTTACTTTTTAGATACATCTAAGTAAGGTGCATCTAAAAAAGTAAAAAAAATATTTAAAATTTTAAAAATATTCACTAAAAACAAAAAAATATGAAAACCAAAAAACTCAGTTTTCAAAAAACTTAATTCAAAAAACTCAAACCAAACACACTGATTGTTGTTTGGTCTTGGAGCAAGGTATGAAAGACCATGGGCCCTACGAGGCCATGGTACTGCCTGTTGCAGGGCTCTTCATATTTGGACATATTTAAGCTTGTATGTATGCTCCCGCTTAGGCTAAGCATAGAGTCTTGGTTCCGCGTGGTGCCTTGGCACACAGCGCCCGTAAGGCTCGCCATGTATCAAACATGTGATATGCCCACGTTGTGTCTTATTGGTCTGCGATGCGGGTGGAGTTTTGGAGATGTGGCACTTGCCATGTATTGGGCTTGATATAAGCACCCACACTGAGTATTGAGTAAAAATTTCAATTTCTGTATCACACTTGTTAAACCACATATATCAGCGGTTGCGGCTATTCAAAAACTAAAATTAGAATTTGTATAAAAGAAATCAAACTTATCGATGACAATCATCCACTTCCAATAAATCTTCTAGTTTAAAGTTCTCAAATCAAGGCAAAATATCATCAAATAATCATTTTCAATGGAAGCAACCAAACAATCATTAATCCATTGATATTCCATTCGGTTAAGAAATTGATTCTTTACAAATTATATGTCCTAATCCAACACAAGTTTTATATTCACCAAGAGAGCTATCTTTCAAATACCTTTATTTTATTTGAAAATGTATAACAACACAAAAAACAGAAGTTAGAAGGTAAAATGAAGAGATTTAGGGTTAGGGTTTAGAAGAAGGAAGAAGAAGATGAGAGAAGAGAAAGAAGTTTTATATATTTGTGTATACTGTTTTCTCAACTCTCCATCCGCAATATATATATATACAAACCCTAACAATGCAATATAACCATCATACCCTCAACTTATGTAGATATTAACAGATAAAACAAAAATAACTATGCTAACACTCCCTCTTAAGTTGGAGCATAGAGGTCAAGCATGCCCAGCTTGACGAATAAACGATGAAACGAAGGCCAAGCCAAAGGTTTGGTGAGAATATCACCCAATTGATCTTTAGAATGAACATAAGGAGTCACAAGTAGCTTGCGCAGTAAGAGATCACGAATAAAATGACAATCAGCTTCTATATGTTTGGTCCGTTTATGAAACACAAGATTATTGGCAATGAAGATAAGTAGCCTAATTGTCACAAGACATGCTCATAGAAGCGGGAATAAAAAAGCCAAAATCCCGGAAGACGAGATTGAACCCAGAGCATCTCAGAAGCAGTATGAGCCATGGCACGGTGTTTAGCTTCAGCGCTAGAACGAGCAACAACAATTTGTTTCTTGCTACGCCAAGTAACAAGATTTCCACCAACAAAGGTACAATAGCCCAAGGTGGAATAGCAGTCAATCTTATTACTAGCCCAATCAGCATCACTGAAGCCAGTGAGAGACAGTGAGGAAGATGGACGATAGAGCAAACCCCACTCGGAGCACTCTTCAAGTAGTGCAAGATACAACACATAACTGCAAAATGGGACTGGCGAGGAGCATGCATAAACTGGCTAACCACACCCACGGCATACGTAATATCTGGACAAGTGACAATGAGATAGATTAACTTCCCACGTTTGATTCTTATAAAGGGCACACATTTCCCCATCCATTGCATGTTTCCAACCAGAGATGGACATAGCCTGCTGATAGGAGCTGGGAATGAAAATACTAAATAGGCTACAAACAAAAGAGTGAAGACAAGGAGAGAGGCGATCATAAGAAACGAAATGAGCAATAAGATGTTAAGTGCAAGTACGTTTACCTTTGCAGATTGCAATAGGAAGATTATTAGAAGGTATATCGGCAGATGGAACAAGAGGGACAGGAACCTCAGACGCAGGAAATGAACTGGTCGGGCCATAAGACACAATGCGTCGAGCTTGAGACCACTGATAAACCTGCAAAGAAGGGGTGGAGGCGAGATGAGAGGGAGATGATATAGAAATGGAGGAAGGAACACAAGAAGGAAGAGTAGGGGTGAGAGAGGTTGGCTCCCCCTCACAACAAGAGAGAAGATCAGTGGATAACTGTTGACTAGAGGAGGAGAAAAAAAGAGTGGCCTCAAAAAAGGTAACATCAACACAACTCAGGATGACAACATTAATACCCTTTTTGAGTACGAGAGTAGCCTAAGAACACACATTTGCGAGCACGAGAAGATAACTTATCTAAGCTGGGTTCAAGAACATGGACAAAGGCCATACAACCAAAAACATGAGGTGATAAGGGAAAATGAGAGATATGGGATGCAACTAAGAATAAGGAGACATGTGTACAACACTAGAAAGCATGCGGTTAATAAGAAAGCAAACGGTGAGAACAGCATCGCCCCAAAATTGTTTGGGAACATGCACATTAAACATCAGTGTGCGAGCAACATCTAACAAATGACAGTATTTACGCTCTGCAACACCATTTTGAGGAGATGTATAAGAACAACTAGTCTGATGAATAATACCGCGAGCATCACAAAAGGTAGTCACAATAGAATGCACATATTCTACGGCATTATCAGACCAAAATATCTTAATACGTTTCCCAAATTGAGAAAATATTTCATTATAAAACTTAGAGATAATAGAAGGCAAATCAGATCGATGTTTCATTAAAAATAACTGAGTCATTCAAGAGTAATCATCCACAAAAATAACAAAATAAAAAAAAAACAAACAATAACAACGGGTGTTTTAGAAGAACCCCAAATATCTATACGGACAAGAGCAAAAGACTCATACTCACGACTAACACTCCTACTAGGAAAAGAAACACGACTCAAACCAATCTGAGAAACATAACTCAAACCAAGAACAGATAACTTAAGCTTGGCCAAAGAGGGATGACACAAGCAAAAATGCCACTGAAGAGGACATACAGTAGCGCTCAACACAATAGATGGAGGATGAGGAGGTATCGCAATGTCCAAAAAGTATAAGTCATCTTTCTCATACCCCGAACCAATCATCCTCCTGGTCTGGTGGTAATACAAAACACATGAAGTGGGAGAAAAGGTTACAAAACAGTGGAAAGCTTGAGTTAATTGGCTAACAGAAAGCAAATTAAATGGATACTTAGGAACATAGAGACCAGAGAATAAGGAAAGAGATAGAGTGAGGTGAAAAGGACCTTGACTACTAACAGGTCAAGAAAATCCATCAGCAAGTATAATAGTATGATTAACAGGCCTCAGATTATCAAAAAGAGAGGAATTACCAGAGATGGGAACTAGCACCAGAGTCTAGGAGCCAAAGCTAAGTAGACTTAGCCACACATGCAATATTACTTGAACCAGCCAGAGTAGCGATAAAGGATAAAGGTATACTAGGCTGGAGAGACTGGACAAGAGCAGTAAGCTCACTAATCTTAGTAGTGAGTGTCTCATGAGAATCAACCGGAGAAGCAATAGAACCAGTGGAAAACAAGAAGGACTGTGAGAATGGAACATCTATAACCTGATGCACATGGTCAGGTTTGCCATACTTCCGCCAACACCAAGGTTCAATATGACCTTGGGAACCACAATGAGTACACTTGCGATCACCATGTGTGCGAGAGCCAGGGCCACTACTACCCCCACCACGAGAACCACCACCACAAGATGCACCACCACGGGAACCACCTCCATGAGAACCTTGTGAACTGTAAGAAGAGCCCCAAATGCCAAATGGGTCATGAAAACCCCCTTGAGTAGGCCCACGATCTTCACTACTAGAGACCATTGCAGAAGATGACAAAGGAGAGGACCAAGTGGTAGGTTGTGCCTGACCCAAGGAAGAACGTAACAGCCGAGAATAGGCATTAGCCGCAAAAAGGAGTCACTGGCAAGAATCTGATCCTTGAACCCCCGTAATTCAGGATCTAAACCGAAGAGTAAAGACACTATCATAAACTCTTCCCAATGTTGCTTTTGTTTGTTTACATTAATAGTGAAGGATCGATGCTGCAATAACTAATCCCATAAGGTCTTGAGGCTACTATAATACTCGGGAAGGAATCGGCCAGATTGGCGCATAGCAAAAAATCTGCTCATACAACTCATAGACCTGAGAGACATTACTCTGAGGCGTCGTTTGGGAACCTTTCTTTTTAGCCAAAAAGCCAAAAAGTTACTAAATTAGCCAAAAACCCAACAACCCATACCAAAAAAGTCAAAGATTCTCTTTTCTCTCTACTTTTTGCACATCTTTTCGTAAAAAGCCAAAATGTCATCCCAAACATACTAGTTTTTTTTAGCTCATATTTTAGCCAAATAGCCAAAAAGTTATTAAATTAGCCTGTTCCCAAACGAGACCTGATTCAAAAAAGATTCGGCAAGGAAGTCCCAAATTTCCTTCGAGGTATTACAAAATTCCACAGTAGTAGCAACTTGTGGTTCTAGATTACGCCAAATCCAACCTATAACACAAGAGTCCTCACTACACCAACCATCATAAGCTTTATCATCAGTAGCAGGTGAGAGTTCACTAAGGAAGCGGGACTTCTTCTTTCCACGTAAGAAAATTTTGACAACATGAGCCCAAGCCACATAGTTGGCACCATTCAATTTCTTTGTGGTGATAGATTTAAGCATGTCATCATCTTTACCCACAACCATAGCCTTAGCCTCAATCTCGGCCATGATGATCAATTATACAAAATTCTCAACAAACGAGCATGAATGTAGCAAATTACTTGAAGATATTCACTGCCCATAACAACCAGCACCCACAACAACCAATATAGGCAACAGATTCAGACCCAAATTGAACCAAAATAACAAAAACAAATAAAAAAGCCAAATATCCAAATTTAGATTGAAATTGAACCAAAACAAGAAACCACCAACATGAATCAACAGCTTAAGACCAAATATCTTGTGCTATACAATTTTCGGCCTATATATGGTCAATCCCAATAGATAAAAGTAAGAAAACAGCCTTGTTGTACTAAAACGAACTGGAGAGACAAAAAACTCAACCCAATCAGCAATAAACCACAAATTAACAGCAAAGGGCACTAGAATAGGCCCAATCGACTCCTATAGAAGGGATTGTACCAAGAAGAACTAGCAAAAACAGTCCCCAAATCCAAATTCAAAAAAATGCACCAAAAATCATGAAAAACATTCGAAAATAGAAAACTCACATTAGGGATGATCAAAAAATTCCACAAAAATCACCATAATTCTCAGGAGACCATTTCGAGCTTAGAGGTGAAAATCCCATCCATATGGTGCTTACGTCATGCTGACGTCATCGTAGGCTGATGACGTTAGCACTTCTCAGTCACCTATCTCAGCTCAACCTCCAGAGTCTGTAGAACACTTACTAACGAAGAATGGATAGCTCTGATACCAAGTTAGAAGGTAAAATGAAGAGATTTAGGGTTAGGGTTTAGAAGAAAGATGAAGAAGATGAGAGAAGAGATAGAAGTTTTATATATTTGTGTATATTGTTTTCTCAACTCTACATCCGCAATATATATATATATATAAATCCTAACAATGCAATATGACCATTATACCCTCAACTTAAGTAGATATTAACAGAAGAACAATAGAACAAAAATAACTATCCTAACAACAAACATAGAACCAACACAACGAGATTGGTTGGTAGTTTTCTAAAAAGTCTTGTCCAACCATGTATTTTCTATATTTGGTTTGTGTGTTCTTAGATTCTTTTGTTTTTTTTCCTGCTTTTTAATCTTGGTACAAGGCAAGGGTACTAAATTCAAAATTAAAAGAAATCTTGTGAGTAGGATGTGAGCTGGGCGTGCAAAGATTGGAATGGGCAAATTGGTTGTTTAAGATCTACGCTGGGTGTTCAAATTGAGCAAGGGTTCTTTGTTGTATTTTTGGTGCCATGATCTTGTGATCTTGTTGTGGTTTTACCACAACATGACACATCAACAAAAAACATGCTCAAACAGCCAAGTTTAAAACTCAAGTAAAATGCCACTAGGCATTCCAAAACGACTTAGTTTTACTTCAACTTCAAATCTTGATCGTTGGATCACCACAGCAAGATCACATATTCACAATACATAAAACAAAGTTGAGGATCCTAATTCATTCAGATTATGAAGAGTGGACTGATTAACATATATCTAACAAAAATATCATGTTATTCAATTGAATGCCATACCCTAGAATATATGTGCTGCCCCCCTGGACATTAGATAAATGTTCATCATCAGTATCACCAAAACACTTACCATTTACTGTGAACACCGAGTAGAGAAACCAACTATTAGACACATTGTTAAAATCCACCTACTCTCCACCTACTTCACCCACTTAAACCTACTCCACTAAACCTAACCCACTACACCACTACCACCTCACCTACTCCACTAAACCTAACCCACTACACCACTACCACCTCCACTTCACCTACTCCTTACCTACTACACACTCACCCTCTTCTATATATAGGAATCATGAATCATTGTAATATATATCAATATATCAATCAATAATAATACATACAATTTATTCTCTCTCTTTCTCTATACATTATTTCTTACACACATGGAGACTATATTTTAAACAAAAGAAAGATATATAGTGATACCGAATTTTGAATGCAACTCTTACACACAACAACACAAAACATGCATAATCAAGTCCTGTAAAATTAATAGCACTCAGTGCTTATGTAGAGGTACTCAAGTTAATATAACTCTGCTGCAAAATAATAATTATATCATATGCTAATTTTATAAATGTTGTTTATGTACTTACACAAAAATTGTTTTTTAAGTCCAAAGGAACTTCACTTTCAAATAGTATGTCAATCAGTGAGACTCATTTGCTTACATAGAAGAATAGTAAAGAAAAGAAGTATCTCACATATTAACAATAAGACAATTCATGATTTACATAAAAGTTTGTGTTCATGTAATTACGTATCTAAATGTTTCACACTCATCACTTCATGCGAGTACATAAACAATGCTACAACAAATGGAAAATTTTCATGAAGTGCAATTCATCACATACTAATCTACAAATTAGTTGAGCAAAAAATCTTCCAGCTTAGACTATTTTAAACAGATCATGTAAATGTTATATCTTAGTACTCTACAGTGTCAAAATGCTATTTTTAGACAAACCCGCTCCAGGCTAGCAATGCATGTACTTTTTTTTAGCACGACTACCGTTTGATTCAATTTTCACCAAGCAATACGATTGTGGCTACCTAATTATATGTATTCACAGTGTCTTTAAACTATACTTTTAATTAAAAAAAAAAATTGTAATGCAATAATTAATATTTTGAAACTCCAATTCATTAGTTTAATTAATTGCTCGCCACCATATGATTCAATCTTGTGAACTACAATGATTTTATAGAACGTATATGAGCACAACAAAGAGAGCAAGGTTGACAAACAAGTGTCAACATATTTGGAATATCTTCGAATATATTTTGAATTAAAATTATTTTGATGTGATGGTTTGTAAAAAAAATTCAAATAATATATTAATTTCTAGAATTTATATAAAACTAAGAAGAAAATACATGATGTGGTGGGCCCCTCAAGTTCAAATTTGTACTTGAGAGAAGCCCATTCCTAAGTCATAAAAATTCAATAGTCAAAACCTATGAAGCATGGACACTCCAAAATCGGTGCCGTGGCGGTGTCCGACATGCCGGGGACATGTAATTTAATGGTTTTTTTGTAGGGGACACGCGTGTCCATATCAGGACACGACAGGACTCATTTTTTTTATTTTTTTTCCTTCTTTTGTCTCTCTTATTTAGTGTTTTTGTGAAGAATATTGTTGGACGTCGAATGTTTTCCCCTTCTCGTCTTAGTTCTTGTTATCGTTTATTATGACTTTTTTTGTGAATGAATGATCTATTCATTTGTTTAAATGTAGTGAGTATATTTATTGAATTAATGTTACTATGTTAGTGTTTGTTAATTTTAATTTAGGATCGATGTAATCTGAATCTACATAACACATAAAAATATATAATAAAAAAAATAAAAAATTCACCATGTCCCCCGCCGTGTCCGTGTCCTTGTCCTTGTCCTTGTCCCCATTTTTCGGAAATTGTTGTGTCCCGTGTCGGTGTCCGTATCCGTATCCGTATCTGTATCCGTATCCGTGCTTCATAGGTCAAAACTAAAATTTGACACCATGCTATCTTCTATGCCAAATTTAATACAATAGATGCTATCTTCTATGCCAATAGTGTTAGGTTACCAATTTTTCCAAAAGTAACTTTTAGGAAATGGGCCCAACAATATATATCAAGCTATCTAACACCCTCCCTCACGTGCAACCCCGTTTTGCACATGGAGAGACAAATAGATAACCAAATAGAAGGAGAAGCAAATCCTAATGGAGAGACTTGAACCCAAAACCTCTCTTAACCAGAGTTCTGATACCATGTTAAGTTACCAATTTTTCTAAAAGCCTAAACTTTTAGGAAATGGGCCCAACAATATATATCAAGCTAATAGATGATGGCTTTGATGCCAAATTTAATACGAATTTTTAATACAATAGATGATATCTTCTATGCCAAATTTAATACAATAGATAGCAAGAATGTATATTATGTAACGGGTACGCCACGTGGTAAAGTTGATGGGGTGTCACCTTTCCATTCATTAATTGACATTTAGTAAAAAGTGGGACTGAGGTTTGATGTAACTGAACACTTAGCACCTTGAGTTGGGAAAAAAAGTGACTTCTCGAGATCTCATTTTAATCATGTCAATTAATGAGAACGATACACCACATCATCTCGACCACGTGACATACTTGTTACATAAAATACTTTCTCGCTATCTACTATATTAAATACACATTAAATTTTACATAAAAGATGTCATCTATTCTATTAAATTCGCATTTTCTCGCAATCAATTGTATTAGATTTGCATTAAATTTGGCATAGAAAGGTAACATCTATTGTATTAAATTCGCATTAATAGAAAACATTTTATGTAACGGGCATGCCACATGGTCAAGATGACATGGTGTACCCTTCTACTCATTAATTGACATATGATTAAAATGAGACCCTGAGAAGTCACTTTTTGCTCCGCCCGAGGTGTTGAGCATTCAGTGACATCAAACCTCAGTCCCACTTTTTATTAAATGTCAATTAATGAGTGGAAGGGTAACACGACATCATCTCAACCACATGGCATACGCGCTACATAAAATGTTTTCTCAATAGATAGCATGATGCAAAAATTAGCACAGTGGATAGCATACTACTAAGCACAATGAACAAGGCCAACTTTGGCACAAAGTCGGCAACGCCACCGCTTTACAAAAAAGGCCCTAATTTTTTTTTAGCTATTATACTAGCCCACCAACCCGACAAAATTTGGTGAAAATTCAAAACTAATAGATTGTTGATGTGAATTATTTCAAACTAATGGATGACTATTTGAAATTAATGGATGGTTGTTTCTCAAATGTATGAATTGCATATAAAATACTATTAATTATACCAGTTACAATTGTTTATGAGGAAAGAAACTTTTCAAATTTAAGGTTGATTAAATCTTACCTTCAGTCAACTATGTCACAAGAAAGATAGATTAGTAATTTAATCCACTGAAAAAGATTTAGATAATAAGTTTAATTATGCAAATTTAATTAACAATTTTGAGTTAAAAATACGAAAGTATGGTCAAATATACAATAAAAAATACAAAATTCTTTCATCACAACTTTTTGTTTTTTGTTTTTTTCTAAAATGTAGGAGAGACCCATATCAAGAGTTCACTTTGGGCTCCGAAAATGTGACAATGATAGCACACAGGTGAAGAACAATAGATGAGAACGCTGGAGTTACTCTTAATAAGCAAGCCTAGATTGTACAAGCTAAAAAGATAAACCTCCACAGAAGGGAAGTTTAAAAAAAATGTACACTCTGTTTTGGATTTTTCAAAAATAATTTTTAAGTCTTGAATATGTTTTTTTAGATTTTTAGTGAATCTTCTTAATATTTCAATAAATTTTCAAAATTTTTAGGCCCCCTTAATCTAGATACACTTAAAAATACAAAATTTGTGAAAAAAAAAAAAATACTAATACAAAAATGCAATATATTTATTGAAAACAAAATAAAATACCAATTAAAATTTTAAAACCTGTTTTTTCCTTTTTTAAAAAATCAAACAGAGTGATAAATACTTCACAAAATAGTAATAAAAAAACCAAAGTAAAAGATCAAAAAATGTAACCTCAGAATCGCTATTCCGACCCCGAACCACCGAAACGGAACGCCTTCTTCTCGAATTAGCATCCAAACCAGTCCTCCCACCACAACCATTCTTATCAAAATTACTCTCTCTCTTCCCATCACCAACTCCCGAGCTTTGTCTCGAGACTGACCTCCCTCGCCTCTGGGACGATACAGTCGCATTGGTCGCCGGACTAATCTCAGAGCAACGCCTCGACGATCGGCCTCTCTGGCTGTCTCTCTCGTCCAGGGAGTCATTGAGAGAGAAGAATTCGATTGCGAGATCGTCGAGGCTGATTTCGGGAAACGCTGAGCCTCGAGCTGTATTGACGAATCTTCCTCTCGGAGCGTCGGCGAATTCAGGGGGGTCCGGAAGGAGCCGCGAGAAGCGACTGAGACTCCTTGAGCGGCGGTGAGGTTTGGTGGAGGAACTGGATTCGGCGGCGGCGTTTGATGGAGAGCTGATCGGCGTTCTCTTCGTGGTTGATTTGAAGGCCGATGTCGCCATCGCGGAGGGGAGAGATTAGGGTTTGAAATTGGCCATTAGAGAGAGAGAGAGGTGAGAGGGAAAGGCGAAAGAGACAACCGAGTTGAAATGAAATGAATGTTGTTGTAGGTGAAGTGAAGAAGGTTTGGCGGAGTGTTCGAAAACACATCGAGTTTTCAAAATTGAATGTGCATTGACGGATTTACGCCTGCTTCGTATTTACAAATTGCGTGATTGCCATTTTGACTACTACTCATATTGACCAAAATTATTTACCTATAATTTTTATTTTATTTCATTTTTTATCTATTACTATGTTTGAAGGGTTTTTTATTGATAAATTTTATTTTGGCTTGGTTTGGGAAGTGGGTTGGTTTTTTAGTTTTTTGGATTTTATGGTTATTTTAACCTCGGCTAAATAGCTTGGTTTGGAAATGATTTTTTAGTTTTTTTGCTTTTTTGACTTTTTTTGTGAGAGAATAGTGTAATGATTATGGGTTGGATATGATGTTTTGTTTTTTGTGGCTAAAATAGCCTATTTTGTCTTTTGTAGCTAAAATAGCCAAAAAAACCCCAACCCAACTTGCCAAACGGAGCCTTAAAGGTGTTCTATCCCAATAAATTCATAAATAAAAATTATAATCTAATTAGTCTCATATATTTAGGAGTAATTTGGGATGATCTAAATAAGTGCACTTTTTGACTTTTCATGAAATATAGATTGGGTATGGGTTGGGTTTGAAGTGATGGGTTATAGAGGTGATGTGACTTAAATAGGATAGTAACTTTTTGATTTTTTGACTTTTTTAGATCATGCCAAACAAGGCCTTATACTTTTATTCTATAAGATCTTGTTTTTCCTAATTTATATTTTTTGTTAGACTATTATACACTTATGTCTATTGTTGATATATATTATATACAAAAATAATATACATGTTTCTCTCTATTTTTGTTGTGGTAGGGTTTCGTTTCTATAGGAGAGAAAACGACGACACAGAATTCGTGGTAGTGTTTTATTGTGGTAGAGCTTCATTCATGTAGGAGAGAAGATGACGATTCAAAGTTTGTGCTCTGTTTTTTTTTTTTCTGCCATAGTTATGATTTCAGCCGGAAATCAAAAGAAGATAGGAGGATTTGAATCGAATGAATAGAGGTAATGGCTTATAAACTTGTACAGTAGATTGATTGAAACCTACCTTCAACTAGATTGAATCAAAGGGAAATAGGAGATGGATTTGAATCGCAACTATTTTTGTGTCCAGCCTATGTTGTTGCATACTTATTCTTCGAATGTGGGTTTGATTTGATTTGGATTGGTGGAATTGTGAAATTACATGGATTGTTAATGAAATAGTGATAATGATGAAGATGAAGATGTAGGTGATAGTTTTTTATTTTTAGAAATATTGAGACTTTTTTTGGATTTCTAGTTCTATTACTACCATTATTTTTTGTTTTTCTTTCAATCAGTGTGAATGTTCACATCTCATATTGTTTGGAAGTTTAAAAAATAAGTGTTGGAATTGTGAAGAGTGAGGTCTCTGATACAGTAATGGGGCTTCTTTGTAAAGAGATAAGACGTGTTTAGTTTGATTTGGATTGTTGTAATAGTGGAATTGTAGGAGGTGTTAATAATAATGTAATGATAAAAATGAAGACGAAAATTATGAAGAAACAAATGAAGATGTGTGTGATGGTTTTTTATTTTTTGAATTTATGATTCTGTTATTATCATTGATTTTGATTTTTTGTTATTGGATTCAATGTAGCAATGATTTTTTGAGATTGGTAATGTGTCTGACATAAAAATGATATAAATGTTCATATTATTAATTAGTGTTAATATTCACATTAATTTGAATTGAAAATTTGTCATTGTGTTGTCAATTGGTGTTAATATTATTCACACACCAATATAATATTGAATGATGAATATGTTTTCACTGTGTTTATTACTATTGTGACAATGTGATGTTAAGGTTTACATCAGTATTGCATCAACTTACGCAACCACAAACCTCAACTTTCATTTTGAACACAAATATGATGTGAATATTCATACTAAAACATATGAATGTGAAGGTTTACATGAATTCTGTATTATAAATAAAGATACTATGGTTTCAAAGTGTTAATTACTAATATGGAATGGTGATATTAAAGTGTATATAAAAATTGTATTGCCCACAAATCACATTAAACCAATGATTATGTGTATATAATTAAAAAGCATCTGACAACAATGTAAATGTTCACATTGATTTTTTAATCTCTAAAAATATGATTACATCAACATTACATTAACCACAAACCATCATTTTTGTGTGTACACAAACATGAAGTGTATGTTTATGCACAATTAGATTATTAATGTGAATGTTAACATCACGAATAAAACATCAAATGAATTAATTTAGTCACATTAAGCCAATAGTTATGTGTACATAATTATATAATAATATAAACCAATATGAATATTAACATTGACTTTCTAGTAGTAAATATTATGACAATATACCATTGTATCTTATTAAACACAATCAAAATAACTAATTATGGTTCTTTTGCTCAATGTATTCTAATATTTACAAAATCACAAAGGATGTGAATTTCATATTCATATTTTTCTTGCCGATGTCAAATGTGTCTTTGGATGCCTTGTACATCTCTAGCACGCATATGATAATATCATTGAACTTCATGCATTTGTTGAGGTCAACTTTACCGATCCTCAACACATTAAACAACTGCCAAAATGGCGTTTCCTTCAAACAATTCAACTGAGAATCCAAGAACTTGGTGCTTATCATCAGTTTCACTATCCCAATGATGTTAGATTGGTAGTTGACCTTTTTCATGTTCACTTTACGGGGGAGTTAGCTATTTGTTCAAGTTTGTCTTTAACGTGAAACTTTCTCTTTTTATTTTGCCATGAAATCTATGAGCAACCATCTGTTTGTTCAATTAGAAACATATTTACTATTAATGGTCAAATGATAACAAGTACAAACTATATGTGTTGTGAATAGTAAAATAATGTGAGTATGGTTACATTGAGCAAAACCACGATGTGAATATTCATGCTAACATAATACAATATAGGATAAAACAATAAAAGTCAAATACATAGTGTGAACATTTACATTGATCATATATCATGTCATTAGTTAATATGTTTGAAAAATGAACAAAATTTTAGGAGTTCAAATCATTTGATCATAATCAACAACACCAACAAGGACAACAATAAAAAAAGATGAGGAAAATAACAGATGAAATATGGAATAACATATTACAACTATTAAATTAACACGATGTATACATGATGTTAATGTTCACATCATTATATTATATATTAGATTGTAAATGTTCACAGTCAAATATATAATGTGAATATTCACATGGACCGTATTTCATGTCACTTTTTTTTTTTATGAAAAATAATCAAAAATTAGGAATTCAAATTATTTAGTCACCATTAACAATCAACAATATCAATAACGCCAACATTCACAAAAGGAGAAAAAATAACTACAATATTACAAAATAATATCACATTACAACCAATCAACAAGAATGATGGCCACATGATGTAAATGTTCACATAAGTTCATTACAATCAAATGTAAAAGAGAAAGATCACAGTCAAATATATAATGTGAATATTCACATGGACCGTATTTCATGTCACTTTTTTTTTTAATGAAAAATAATAAAAAATTAAGGATTCAAATTATTTGATCACCATCAACAATCAACAACATCAATAAAGCCAACATTCACAAAAGGGGAAAAAATAACTACAATATTACAAAATAATAGCACATTACAACCACTCAACAAGAATGATGGCCACATGATGTAAATGTTCACATAAGTTTATTACAATTAAAATGTAATAGGGAAACACAACAACGATAATATCAAATAAGTGTTTTGGAATTCACATTGAACCAAAAAGACGGGGAAGGATAGTGTGAATATTCAGATGGACCGTATTTTATGCCACTTTCAACATCAATAAGGCCAACATTAACAAAAGGGAAAAAAAATAACTACAATATTACGAAACAATAGCACATTACAAGCAACCAACAAGAATGATGGCCACATGATGTAAATGTTCAAATCAGTTCATTATAATCAAACATAAAGAGGAAACACAACAACGATAATATCAAATAGTTGTTTTGGAATTCACATTGAACCAAAAAAAGGGGAGAAGAATAGTGTGAATATTTGCATGGACCGTATTCCATGCCACCATTAACAATCAAGAACACCAACAAGGCCAACATTCACAAAAAGGGAAAAAATAACTATAATATTACAAAATAATATCATATTACAACCAATTGACAAGAATGATTACCACATGATGTAAATGTTTACATCAGTTCATTATAATCAAACGTAAAAAGAAGAACACAACAACGACATTTGTCAAATAGCTATTTTGGAATTTAGATTGAACCAAAAAGAAGGGAGAATAATGGGTGCTTACGTTTGTTCCTGTCACGACCCAAACCCGCCCCTATGGGTTTAGCACCGTAACCGGCCAGTAATCCGAGATTACCGAAGCCCTGTTTAACAGTAAGACAGTAATACAGAGTACAGGGGCGTAGCGGAAGCCAAAATAGTAAATAAACAATATCCAATGAGCTGTGACAGTCTGTATGCAAAAAGATTTTTCATACGTATATACATGAACAATACAGAACAGTATGTACAACATTTACAGTCGATCAGAACAGGGACCTAATCCCTGTTAAACAGTACAGTACAGTGCTATCAATCTAAACAGTTATTACAAAACAGATACAGAGACAGACGGGGGAAATTAAAACACCCCTAAGCCATAGCTTGACAGGCTCGAAACCTCGTAGTGAGGCACAGTGGTTGGCTTGACAAAAAGGGAGTCTAACCCACGCTCATAGCTCCGGTCTGGTGCCTGTACACCTACATATATATATAAATATTGAGTTAAAGCCCAGTGAATAACGTAATGCGTAAAGAGGTTAAGAATGAATGTCCTTACAGTATTGAAAACAATCATTTCAATCAGTATATCAGTTATTCAGTCATTACAGTCATATGTGGTACATCCATTAGCATAGCAGTACAGTA